TTACCTTTAAAACCATGACTTTTAGACTGAAAGCTGCCTTCCCAGTGGCGTCAATGAAATCCAGAAGAGAGTTGAATAATATCTTCAATACGCTGACAGAATAACTGTCAAAGAGAAAAAAAAAATAGGTCAAATTTAAAAAAATCAGAAGCAAGAATATTTTCTGACTTTTCAGTGAAGCACTAAGAATTAGAAAGCACTGAAGCAATGCCTTCGAAATTTGAGGGGAAAATTTTCTCACCTACAAGTCTATGACCAAACTGTCAATTGTCATGATAGACTAAAGGTTTTTCCAACATGAAAGAACTCAAATAGTTTACTTCCTCTGCATTCTTATGTTTTTCTGGAAGCTACTAGAGAAGATGTGCCACTAAAACCAGAGAAAAACCTAAGAAAGAAGTAGAGATGGGATCTATGAAACTGGGGTCCCAAGCCAAAAAAAAAGTCAAGTGCAATCTCCAGGATGATGGAAGGGGAACCCAAGGTGGTAGTGGGCCTGGAGGGAAAGTCAAAAGGCTCCAGGAAAGAGTGCTCCAAGTGAATGAAATCAATGGAATACTGAAGGACATCTTTCAGCAGCTGGAGAGAAGAGATAGCCAGTTTGGGAAAGTACTGACCTATGGTAAGTAGCAGAGAACAAGCAACATGGGGGTGGGGAGAAACAGTGTTAACTCTGAGGAAAACAAAATATCAAGACAGGGGATTTCCCTCGTGGTCCAGTGGCCAAGACTCCACACTCCCAATGCAGGGGCCTCGGTTTGAACCCTGGTCAGGGAACTAGACCCCGCCCATGCTGCAATTACGACCCTGCAGAGTCAAATAAATAAATAAATATTTTAAAAAATATATTTTAAAAATATATCAAGAGAGAAAGGAAAAATAATCAGGGTTGTCATAGACTTGATAATGTGAACACCAAGGAATGACCTAATGCAGATCATTGTATACTGTCCTGGGAGGATGGGGGTGGTGAAAGAGCTACATCATCATCTTTTATTGTAAGAATAGTCAATAATTCCTAAAATCTAAAAACTAAAGAAATAGCACTATAAACAATTTATTTAGAGAATTGGAAGTAAATGCCAAAAGAAACAGCTAAAAGGGATGAATATAGTTGATTCTGGGGAAGGATGGATTCCATCCCCAGATGGAATCACCCACCCCAATCTGTTGTGGGTGAAAGCAACAGATTGCTATTTTTGTAATAAACCTTGTAAGGGAACCCTTTTCCTCTTTGAACCAGGGGTTGGCAAACTATGGGCTGGTTTTGTACACCTGTGAGCTAAGTACGCTTTTACGTTTAAATGGTTGAAAAAATCAAAAGAAGGACATTTTCTGGCAAGTGAAAATGATGTGAGGTTCAAATGGCAGTGTCTGAAGTGTTATTAGCACACAGCCACACTGATTCATTTACATATTGTCTCTCACCAACTTTGTGTCATAACAAAGGTCCAGTTGAGCAGCTAAAACAAAGAACATGTGACCGCAAATATTTACTATTTGGCTCTTTATAGAAACAGTTTGCTGATCCCTGCTTTAAACTATGTTCATACATACCTCTAATAAGTGAAAGAACTAAGGATTTTTAAAGGAAGAAGGAAACACAAGAAATTAAAATTTGCTAATGACTTGTTCTATTGGGAAATTTTATAGATATCAAATAAAAATTAAAATTGAGGTGACCTAAATTGGAAGGAAATCCAAAAAAAGAGAGGATATAATTATACCTGTAGCTGGTTCACTTCACTGTACAGCAGAACCTAACACAACATTGTAAAGCAACTATACCCCAATAAAAATAATTTAATTAATTCATTGACTACACTAAAGCCTCTGACTGTGTGGATCACAATAAACTGTGGAAAATTTTTAAAGAGGTGGAAATACCAGACCACCTTACCTACCTGCTGTGACACCTATATGCAGGTCAAAAAGTAACAGAACAGGACATGGAACAACAGACTGGTTCAAAATTTGGAAAGGAATATTTCAAGGCTGTATATTGTCACCTTGCTTATTTAACTTATATGCAGAGTATGTCATGTAAAATGCCACACTGGATGAATCACAGGCTGGAATCAAGATTGTTGGGAGAAATATCTATAACCTGAGATATGCAGACGACACCACCCCAATGGCAGAAAGGTAAGTGGAACTAAAGAGCCTCTTGATGAAACTGAAAGAGGAGAGTGAAAAAGCTGGCTTAAGACTCAACATTCCAAAAATTAAGATCATGGCGTCTTGTCCCATCACTACATGGCAAAAAGATTGGGAAACAGTGGAAACAGTGACAGACTTTATTTTGGGGGACTCCAAAATCATTGCAGATGGTAACCGTAGCCATGAAATTAAAAGATGCTTGCTCTTTGTAAGAAAAGGTATGACCAACCTAGACAGAGACACCACTTTTCTGACAAAGGTCCATACAGTCAAAGCAATGGTTTTTCCAGCAGTCAAGTATGGATGTGAGAGTTGCATCATAAAGAAAGCTGAGCACCAAAGAATTGATGCTTTTGAACTGTGGTGTTGGAGAAGACTCTTGAGAGTCCCCTGGACAGTGAGGAGATCAAACAAGCCAATCCTAAATGAAATCAATCCTGAATATTCATTGGACTGAAGCTTGTTCAAGGACTGAATATTCAAGGACTGAAGCTGGAGCTCCAATACTTCGGCCACCTGATGCAAAGAACTGACTCACTGGAAAAAGACCCTGATGCTTGGAAAGATTGAAGGCAGGAGGAGAAGGGGATGACAGAGGATGAGTTGGTTGGATGGCATCACCGACTCAATGGACATGAGTTTGAGCAAGCTCTGGGAGCTGGTGATAGACAGGGAGGCCTGGTGTGCTGCAGTCTATGGGATCGCAAAGAGTCAGACATGGTTGAGCGACTGAACTGAACTGAACTGAGGGAGGCCTGGCATGCTGCAGTCCACAGGGTTGCAAGGAGTCAGACACAACTGAGTGACTGAACAACAAAATGTAATTAAGAAAACTCAAAATTGAGAAAAGAATAAGTTAGTGGAAAAAAATGCAAGGCCACTAGTGGAAAAAAGAAACAGGTACATAACATCCAAATAACCAAGGGAAGAAAGAAAGGAACTCGATTAATCCAAAAAGCAGAAGGAAAGGAGGAACAAAATTAAATGAGATATCAGAATAAATATAAAATAGAATGGCAATAAGATGTGATTATCAGTGACTCTATATCATAGTGAAGAACAGGGAAGCATGGAATATTGCAATTCATGATGGTCAAAAACAGCTGGACACGACTTAGTGACTAAACAACAATAAGAAAGCCAAGACAGCACAGAGTACTAAACATAAAAATGAAACTAAAAAGGTATCAGAAGGACACAATAGGAAATGTTTTTATAACCTTTGTGTGGAGAACATCTTTCTGAACAAGTCTCAAGCCAAAATGGCATAAAGGAAAAGATTCACATACTGTAACTGTACATTAAATTTTTTTTTTAATCTATAAGCCTTCTTATAATGAAAGAAGTATAAAATTAAAAAGAAGCAACATTTCAGCTTGTTTCAAACATTTGCTCCTTAAAAATAAAATATCTCCTAATAAACTCATTCCATTCACTTCAGTCGCTCAGTCGTGTCTGACTCTTTGCAACCCCGTGGACTGCAGCAGCATGCCAGGCTTCCCTGTCCATCATCAACTCCCTGGGCCTCCTCACATAAACTCATTAGGGGTTGCCAAAAAAGAAAAGCATCTCCATTAATATTTCTCAAAAGCAACGGATTAAAAGATCTGCAATACCTGTAAGAGACAAAGGACTAATCAACATAATATTTTTTAAATTCCTACAAATTAGGAAGCTAAAAAGAATTTACCAAACATAAAAACAGGAAATGGTTGTAACAGGCAAATCAGAAAGGATGAACTGCGAATGCCAGTAAACGTACAAAAAATGTATAACTGGAAGCAAATCAGACAGACATGAAACAAATGATTGAAAATGGTTTCCTTATCCATCAGAAGGCCAGACATTAAAAAGATGAACAATATTCATTGTTGACGGGGCCTGGGGAAAGGCGCACTCACATATAACTGCAAATAGAATGACACAGAGGTTCTGGGTTTCATTGCGCCATTATCACCGCACGAAGCTTTTAACCCAGCAAGGATGTGGGTCCCTGGCTGCTTTCAGGGCCACTGTGGGGGCTCTCAGAAGAGCGGCAGGTTTGAACTAAGTGGCTGAAAGAAGGGTGTGTTGGTGCAGAGACGGTACCAGGGAGACCACGGAAGAGCACCTCAGAGTCACAGGCACGAGCTCCATGGCCTTGCTGATGAGGGCTTTCAGAAAGATGGAAAGTTAACAGGAGTCCCTTTAAGCTAGGCTCCCAGAACTGTAGCCTAGCGTTGGGGGGCACAGCAGCTCAACGGTTCTAGAAAAAGAAACAAGGTCCGTGCAGAAACGCCTTGCTGCCTCAAGACGCTCAAACCGCTTCACCTTTTGTGAACCGCGTTCCCTCCCCCCGACCCCGCCACACCACCGCCCGACGTTGGGCTTCTGTGGGGCTGGAAAGGGGGCAGCTGCCAACTGGAAAATTCCAGCGTGGTTTTTATCATAGGGTGAGAAAATGCACAAAACAAACTTAACCACTGTAATTCTTTTAAAGCTTGTGAACGCACAGGCCCTCCGTTATTCGAGTCAACACGTTTCGCAACCATCGCATCATCTAGTTCCAGAAGTTTATCACCCACCCCCAAGGTAGACTCTGGTGCTGGTGCTGAGGCAGCTCTCTTTGAGCTGACAGGACAAGGGCAGATACAAAGGACTAATCTCAAGTCATCGCGAATAATGTGCGACATATGAATGACACATATTCAAAATGCGTGGGATTGGAGGGCGCGGGGAAGGGGCGGCGCGCAGAAGGGGCGGCGCGCGGAGGGAGCGGCGCGCGGAGGGAGCGGCGCGTTTGTACGCCACGCAGCACACTCCGCTGCATTTGCTCCTCAGACGCGGGCGTGTTCGCAGCTATGGCCGACGCTGAGGCGAGCGCCGCGAATGTGGACGAAGCCAAACCTGACGCGAAGACTTTGCAGATTCTGCGGGACATGGCCAATCGCCTGCGCATCCATTCCATCAGGGCCACCTGCGCCTCGAGCTCTTCTGGGTAAGGCGCCCTCGTCGAAGCTCGGGTCGTTGAGTGGCTCGCCCTGCGGGGACGCCTGTGGAGAGAGTTGGGGGAGCTGTCGGGGGGCGGGGCGGGCTCGGTTATGGAGGCCCCGTTTCACGCTCTCCGGGTTTGGCCGCCACGTCCTCCGGCAGCCACCCCTCTCGAGCCCGTGGCCGGCCGACAGTGGCAGCCCGGGGCCTCCGGCCTCTCAGGTTAACGGAGAGGAGCCCAGGCGCGGCGGGTGGAGTACATGGCCTGGGCGGCTAGCGTGGGAGTGGGAGCGGCCTGGCGCTGTTTGTGTGAGGAGGTGTCCTCGACACCAAGGCCTCGAACCCAGAAGGTGGAGTTCGGAGAAATAAAGCTTAAAAGAAAGTGATGGGGGAGTAAGAATCCGAGCAAAGGGGGACTGTTGCTTCTGCTGGTATTTTGTTGAAGATGTTTCTGTCAATATTCATAAAAGATATTGGCCGTTAGTTTTCTTGGAAGGTGTTTGTCTGCCTTTAGTATTGGTATAAGGACGATTTTGGCCCAGAGTGAGTTTGAACGTGTTCTCTTCAGGGTTTTGTTTTGTTTTGTTTTTTTCCTGGAAGAGTTGGAAGAGAATTGCGGATTCAGCAGTGAGGCCATCAAGTTCAAAGTTTTTTTTGTCATGGAGCTTTTCCACTACTGATACGATTTCCATGTTGTAGATTTATTCAGATTTTCTCTTTGTGATTCTGTTGTCTTTGATTTTGTTTCTAGAAATTTCTTATAGGTTGAATGATTTATTGCCATACAGTTGTTTGCAGTACTTTATAGTTCTTTTTATGTCTGTAGAATTGATGGTTATAGCCTTACTTTCATTCCTGAAATGAGATTAGTTATTTCAAATCTGATTTAGTACATTTAGTAATTTTCTTTTCCATTTACTCTAGTTAAAGGTTTGTTAATTTTGTTAATCTATTCAAAGAACCAACTTCTGTTTTGGTTCATTTTCTACATTGTTTTCCTAGTCTATTTGTTTCTGCTCTAATATTTTATTACTTTTTCCATTCTGTTAACTTTGGTTTAGTTCTGCGTTTTTAAGTAAGTTGTGAACTTAAGGGCTTCCCCTGGTGACTCAGACAGTAAAGAGCCTGCCTGCAGTGTGTGAGACCCAGGTTCGATCCCTGGGTCGGGAGGATCCTCTGGAGAAGGAAATGGCCATCCACTCCAATATTCTTGCCTGGAAACTCCCAAGGATAGAGGAGCCTGGTGGGCTACTGTCCATGGGGTCGCAAAAAGTGGGACAGGACTGAGCGAGCTCACTTTCTTTCACTGTGCACTTAGGTTTCTTTGTGTTTGTTTGTTTGTTTTTGCGGTGTTTTCTTTTTTTCCCTTGAGAGACTTTTTTTGTTAATTTATTTTATTTATTGGCCTCACCGTGCAGCTTGCAGGATCTTAGTTGCTGGACCAGGGATCGAACAAGGACCCAGGGTAGTGAAATCACCAAGTTCCAACGACTGCACTGCCAGGGGGTTCCCAGAGATAGTTCTTTTTTAATGCAAGCATTTACAGCTATAAACTTATCTCATCACTGCTTTTGCCACATCCCACAAATTTTGGTATAATGTGTATTTCATTTGTCTCCAAAAGTTTATCAGCTTTTCTTGCAATTTCTTCTTTGACCTATTCATTTAAGTACACTGTGGAGGATTTTTGTTGTTTTCTTTTAAAATTGAATTATAGTTGACTTGCATTATTAATGTCAGGTGTACAATACAGTGATTCAGTATTTTTACAGATTATACTGCATTAAAGTTATTTTAAGAGTGTGTTGCCTAATTCCCACACAAGTGTAAGCTTTACCATTTTCCTTCTATTATTGACTTCTAACTTCACCCTGTCATGGAGATGTGCATGGTTCTGTTTTTGTTTTGTTTTTTTTTTACACTTGCATTTTGCTCCCTTCACCTTCTAAACTAATAATGGTTTACATTTTCTCAAGAGATCTCTAACAGGAGCATCTACTTAGGAGATACTTGCAAAGCCAAGAGGTTTAACTCTCCATTTTCTGCATTGTGAAATTTGAAAGGGGAGATTAGTAATACACATGAGCTGCACTTAAAATCTTACTCTTCTGACTTTTGGGGCATGGCAGGGCTCTAGAGTGCCTGCCTGGATGCCTATGAAAGCTGCTTTTTAAGAGCAAGGGTTGCTCCATTCTATAAGGGCCTCAAGTTATTCCACCATGAGAAACTTCTCAGTCTGACCATTTACTTCCTAAAAAAATTCATTTTAGGTAGTAGAATGCATTTTATTCATTGGGGTTTTTTAAAATTTTCTTCCCCCCACCAAAAAAATTTTCTTTCCCACTTTTATTGAGATGTAATTGAGCACACGGGGCTTCCCTGGTGGCTCAGCAGTAAAGAATCTGCCTGCCAATGCAGGAGATGAGGGTTTGATCCCTGGAGAAGGAAATAGCAATCCACTTGAGTCTTTATTCTTGCCTAGGAAATCCCATGGACGGAGGAGCCTGGCAAACTGTAGTCCATGGGGTCACTCAGAGTGGGACACGACCTAGCAACTAAACAATTGAGCATACAGCATTAATATATTAGCGTAATAATTTGACTTAAATATATTGTAAAATGATGACCACAAGTTTATTTACCATCCACCATCTCATAGATTTAAAATAATGGAAAAGAAAAATGTTTTTTCCCTGTAATGAAAACTCAGGATCTACTCTTTTAACAACTTTCAAGTGTATATCATACAGCAGTGTTAACTATAGTCATTTAGTTGTGTTTTACTTCCCATATCTGGAAGTTTGTAGCTTTTGACAACTTTATCCAATTCCAGCTCCCCCCAACCCCCACCTCTGGTAACCACAAATCCGATGATCTTCTCTGAGTTTGGACGTTTGGTGTGGTTTTTTTGTGTGTTTGTTTTGTTTTTAGAGTCGACATATAAGAGATAATACAGTATTTGTTTTTCTCTAAGTTATTTCAGTTAGAATAATATTCTCAGGGTCCATCTATGTTGTCACAAATGACAGAATTTCCTTTTCATGAGTGAATTATATTACATAATATATATGTACCACACATCTCCCTTATTCATTCATCTTTTTTAAATAAATTCTGTATTTTATTTATTTACTTAGTTTTGGTGGCACAGCATGTGGGATCGTAGTTTCCTAACCAGGGAAATCCCCCATTCATCTATCAGTGGACACTTAGGTTGTTTCCATGGCTTGATAATGCTGCTGTGAACATAGGGGTGTAGATATCTCTTCCACATAGTGTTTTCATTTCCTTAAGATACATCCCAGTAGTTGAATTGCTAGATCATAAGGTAGGTTTTTTTGTTTGTTTATTTTTTAAGATCCTCTTATTCTTTTCTATAGTGGCTGCTCTGCTTTACATTCCCACTGACAGTGCACAGGATTCCCTTTTATCCACATCCTTGTGCTACTAAGTCACTTCAGTCATGTCCAACTCTGTGCGACCCCGCAGATGGCAGCCCACCAGGCTCAGCTGTCCCTAGGATTCTCCAGGCAAGAACACTGGAGTGGGTTGCCATTTCCTTCTCCAGTGTGTGAAAGTGAAAAGTGAAAGTGAAGTCGCTCAGTCGTGTCTGACTCTTAGCGACCCCATGGACTGCAGCCCACCAGGTGCCTCCATCCATGGGATTTTCCAGGCAAGAGAACTGGAGTGGGTTGCCATTGTCTTCTCTGCATATCCTTGCTAGCATTTGTTAATTCACCTCTTTGATGATAGCCATTCTGATGGGTGTGAGGGGATATGTCATTGTGATTTGGACTTGCAATTTCCCTGGTGATCAGTGACATTGAGTACCTTTTCCTGTGCCTTTTGGCTGTCTATCCTCTCTGGGAAAATGCCTATCAGATCCATTGCCCATTTTTAATAGGACTTTTTGTTGTTATGAAATTGTGTGAGTTTGTTATATATTTTGTATATAAACACCTTATCAGGTACGTGATTTGCAAATACTTTTCTCCCATTCAGTATGTTGCTTTTGCATTTTGTTGATTGTTTCCTTTGCCATGAAGAATTTGACTCAGTCCCACTTGGTTTATGTTTGTTGTTGTTTTGTTTTGTTTTGTTTTGTTTTTTGCTTTTGCTTTTAGTGTCAGATTCAAAAAATCCTCACCAAGACTCAGGTCAAGGTGCTTAGTGCCTATGTTTTCTTCTAGGAGTTTTATGGTTTTCAGTGTTACATTGAAGTCTTAATCCATTTCAAGTTAATTTTTGTGAGTGGTATAAGATAGAGGTCTAGTTTCATGTTTTTACATGTGACTATCCAGTTTTTCCCTTACCGTTTGTTGAAGAGACTCGTTCTTTCTGCATTGAGTATTCTTGGCTCCCTTGTCAAAAATTAGTTGACCATATAAGCGTGGGTTTATTTCTGCTTCGTGGAATTTCTGATTAATGATACCACAAATGAATTCAAGTGAAATAATACTCAAATGTTTACAGAGTAGCCAGGTGAACTCCAAGTATGCCGATGCTCCACTGATAGAAGGAGGCTTGTCTATGAGGCCTTGCTCTCTTCAGGGAGAGGAGTTGTGAGATTACTGGGCATTAAAGCATTCTTAAAAGCTGTGATCTTGGCGGGGGGGGCACTGAGTGGCTTAGCATCCCTTTCCCTTGACTGGATTCTTCTGGGTCTGGAAGAAATGACTGCTGCTTCTGGTTTGAGGAGACCATGTGTTGAAAGGCCTCCTTGTGCACTGTGTGTGTCCCTGGTGAGTCACTTGCCTGTGAGAAATGACCTGTGCCATGTCTTCCAGCCACCCCACATCATGTAGCCATGCTGCTGAGATCATGTCTGTGCTGTTCTTCCACGTGATGAGGTATAAACAAAAGGACCCAGAGAACCCAGACAATGACCGTTTCGTCTTCTCTAAGGTAAGCTGACACAGGAACCTAGGGCCAGCTCAGAAACTTGGTTCTTAAATTCATTTTAAAAGCCACCATGTGTCAACAAGGCCTGCACTTGCCTCTGTTTATCCTTTTGGTTCTTCCCTCTTTGCTTTATGTCTTCATCTGTTTAGGTTGGTATAACAAGACACCAGAGACTAGGTGGCTTATAAACAATAGAAATTTATTTCTCACAGTTCTGGAGGCGAGAAGTCTAAGATCAAGGCACTAGCATGGTTGTGTTCTTGTGAGGGCCATCTTCCCAGTTACGGACTTCTCATTGTATCGTGAGGTGGAAAGAGAAACGGTTTCCCTTTTTATAAGGGCACTGACCCCACTCCTGAGTGTTCTGCCCTCATGACCTAATCACTCCCCAAAGACCCCCACCTCCTTATACCATCACCTTCAGCTTCACATTTTCAACATAATAGATTTGGAAGGAGGGGCACAAACATTCAGACTGTGGCAACTCATAAAGATCTAAAAGGTGTTCTAGCAAAAACTGCATAGTGGGAAGGATGACTTGCAGCAACTGGCAGCCCCTGTTTTCCTTTAGTACTTCACCTTAACCCATCTGGCACTAAGGCCCCCCTACCCAGAGTCTTGCTGCTCCCATCCTGTGCCACCTGGGTAGAGGAGGGCAACATTGAGCTTGATTTGAAGGTACATCCCCCTCCTATCAGTCAGCTTTCTCTTCCATTTTTCTGCAGATCCCCAGTAGGGAGTTTCTCATGAGGCTCGATATGGTAACCAGATACCTCATGACATTGGAGGACAGGAAAGAAAAGGAATGTTAAAAACAAGATCTATCTAGGAGAACAAGCAGCTCTTTTGATGCTATCTGAAGGTTTGCTGTGTTCTGAGCAAAGCATTTAAAACTTAACTGGTAGAACATCATGTGCAAATAGAAACCCCAGATCTAAGCAGTGGAAAGTAAAGAGAAGGCAGAGTATGGGCAGAGAACCTGGAGCTGTAGTTAATGACCCTTGTCTTGATGTCTAAAATGTAATCTCAAGTGAGGTTTGCCCAGGGATGAATAAAAGATGTGTGTAGAGGAAGAGAGATAAAGCAGATGAGTGCAATTAGTAATAGCTAATAAAATCTAGGTAAAGAATATGGGGAACTTCATTGTGTTCATTTTACAACATTTCTGTAAGTTTATATTTCCTTCATCATAAAAAGTGAATAGCTATAGATATACAAAGTATGACTGTTTAGAGCGCTAGTTTGGTTTTGTTTTTTTCTTTTGTTTATTGGTTTTGGGTGGGGGGCGGTGGCTGCAGCATTCAGAATCTTACTTCCCTGACCAGGGATTGAACCCATGCCTCCAGCAGTGGAAAAATAGAGTCTTAACTACTTGACCACCAGGGAAGTCCCTCGAGCTCTAGTTTTTTAAAAAAGGAAAGAGGGACTTCCCTGGTGGTCCAGTGGGTGAGACTCTGTGCTTCCACTGCAGGGGACTCAAGTTTGATCCCTGGTTGGGGACGTAGGATACCCCATGCCATGGGATGCAGCCAAATAAAAAGAGAAAGATGCAGGAATTCCCTGGCAGTCCAGTGGTTAAGATTCGGTGTTTCCACTGCCACGGGTGCAGGTTTGATCCCTAGTCCAGGAGATGGCTGCAAGCAGGACAGCATGGCCTAAAAAAAAAAAAAAGCCTAGATTCTCTCATAACCGCTGCTGTCATAATCAGAGTCATTAGCCTTAGAGGTATAGAGTGACTTTCTGGCATGCAGTCGCAGGCTGGACACTGGTTAGCTACCAGAATTTGTGTGTTCGTCAGATTTATGCAGCAGATAAAGTTAGAAAACACTCAGGAGCATAGTCCATCTCGGATCTGGTTGGGAATAGAGTAAATGGACTTGCTGGAGGCCAAGAAGCCAGGGTCTTCATAATCCGTGCTCCTAGGGCACCGGTGTCTACGCAGACATCTACAGATGGAAGCCACCTGCTCAGGTCTGGGCATGGTGCTAAATGAAGTGCTCAGATTCCCTTGGAGCCCTCATGGTGCTCATGATCCCTCCATCCACCACCCTGGCCTTAGTTTTTGTTTCACAAACTTTTGTTTTCTTCAGCGAAGCAGGCCTGGGAAGTAACCAGAAAGCCTGTTTGTAAACCTATTCTTGAAGTGTACTTTGTGTCAGAACAAAGATGAGAAATGCTGCCTTGAAGAGAAGACTTTCTTTTCTGGGTGCCCTTGGCACACTGAGTGCATCTTTATTCTTGGTCTTGGACCGCCTCAGTTGTGTGTCCCCACACAGCTTAGGAGTTCTTGGAAAAGAAAAGGGAACCTGGGGGAAGTGGAGTTGGTCTGAGCATAGAGCCCAGGCTTGGTCCAAGGGCACGCAAGGCACCTGGGAACCAGAGCTTGTTACAGGAGTAAAGTAGGAGCTGTGGGGAAGAAGACAAAGTTAGAAAGGTTGTCAGGAGGGGTTTCAGTGGGACAGTTGTCAGAGCTAGAGGTGCAAAACAGAAAAAGAGTGAGGGCACGAAGCACATGGAGGAAGGTCAGGAGCCCCAGGAGGAGCAGAACCATAGGGTGGATCAAGACAGGAGAGGGATCCGAGAACTCACAAGTACCATTCAGCCATCCTGTAGTGACAACACTAACCAGTCTGCTTGAATGAAGCTGACATCTGAATGGAGGGAGGGGACAGAGAAGAAACAAACCCAGAAATAGCTAGCATGCCAAGAATCCTAAATCCAAAGGAACTGGAGGGGCAGGAAGTACTAGGTGAAAGAGATGGTCCAGGAAGGTCTTGGTGTTGACATTTGAGCCGAGAGTTGAAAGGAGTGAGCTGTGCCCCTTCTTAGGCATAAGCACTGGGCACTCTGGGGGAAGAGGAAGGCACAAGTGCTGAAGCCCTGAGTCAGGTGTGTGCCCGGTGCATTCAGAAGACAGCCAGGACACCAGGCACCGGGGCAGTGGGGGAGAGAGTGGGAGGTGATGGGGGTCACTGCAAGAACCCCCATTGACGTTAGATGGCAAGACCTTGGACAGTTCTCCACAGCGATTGAGGCTTAGGTTTTAACATGCTCCGCCTGGTGGCTGTGTTGAGAATTGACTGTGGAGGGAAGCGGAGAGGCCACTGCAGTGACAGAGGAGAGAGAGGTTTGTGGACAGACTGAGATGGTAGCAGTGGAAGCATTGACAAAGTTTGGTGTCTCTTTAGAAGCTTGGGAGTGGGGCCTCAGTGCAGCAGACCTTTGACACCACCTTCTCTCCATGGAACAGTGACAGCCTGTGCCTACAAGCAGGGTGGGGGGAAACAATGGAGTGGTGGTGGAAAGGGATTTATTTCTAGCATGACCTTTTACATAACCCCTTCCCAAATCTCAGTAGACTTGAGTTTGAGGGAAATGGAAGTCTTCAGTGTTTCTGATTCCTGTTTAAGAGCTCATGTTCTTCAAAAACATTGAACATCTGGTTTGTATATGGCTAGATAAAAGGCCTTGTGAAAATGGCAAGGCTCATGCTTAGATTTTTTTTTTTTTGGTTTGCTTTTGGGCTCTGCTTACACTGCCATGTGGAGAAGTTGCCCTCTTCTATGTTGTCAAATCTGCAGTCGCCCTCACCAGCTGCATAGATTCCATGTGACTTCCTTGTCTTTTTAATGTTGATCTGAGACTTGGAGTGCATGTGGGTGTGGGGAAGAGTTAATTCCCTTGCAGGGTGGGAGGGGCTGCAGTGAAGAGTAACCTTTGTTTGGTGCCTGATCCTAGGAAGTTGGTGCACCCTGCAGGTGCACCTAACCTAGGTTCTTTTGGTCCCTTCTCCTACAGAGACTCTCATTTGTTGATGTGGCAGCTGGATGGCTGGGGCAAGGACTGGGGGCTGCATGTGGGATGGCGTATACTGGCAAGTACTTTGACAAGGCCAGGTAAGACACTTACTCAGAAACCACTTAACTCTCCAATTACCCCACCCCTGGCACTTTGGCTTTGTTTATCCTTTATTAGTTTGGGAATACAGTGATTTAAAAGTTCAGGTCACCAAGTATTCAAGCAATAAAAAGAAATCGTATTTCAGGAAACTGTTACGGCATCTCTGGTTGGGTTCTAAGTGCTGCCTGCAGTATAGAAACTAGTTTGTTAGGATTCAAGTCTTTACCAAGATAGATATCTTCCTGTTTCCCATCTTTCAGTGAGCTTCACTATAGAGTGAACAGATGGTGTGTTCACCTTTCCATTTGGGACCCCTGTATGTTAATAATCAAAGGTTTCTTTTTGGAATGATTCCCCCTTCCAAAAGACAGGCAATTTCATGCCTTTATTATAAGGGTGTGTGTCTGAGTGCTGCTGATACAGGAGCAGCAAAATGGGGTGTCCCTGTTGTGTGGTAAGTCGCTCTTTAAAAATTTCACTTAAGCATTTTTCTGCCCCAGCAGTGGAGAAAGCACAATAAAGTGCTTCCAGAGGGGCTGCCTGGGCTGGAACCTGGGACTGAGGGGCCACAGACTCAGGTGCCCTGGGGGAACCATGGGACTAGAACATACATTCCATGGTGTGCTTTCTCCACTGCTGGGGCAGTTGCCCTGCTCCATTTCCCATGACTATTGACCTTTTTCATCTCTCCTTTTTGCCTCTCTTAGTCCCTGTTGTGTGGTTAATCACTTTTTTAAAAGTCCATTTACAGCCCGGGTCTGCATTATATTTTATTGGTATAAACATTTCATGTTTCTGCTGTGGAGGAGTTTAATATTTACAACAACAAATGCTCCTGAAGTAGAATGTTTTGATTGTTATGGTTACTGTAAATAAGTTTGTAAGATCAGAAATAGAAGGTAGTCGTTCTTTAAAGAGCTTACCAAGAGACTGTATGTGTGAATGTTTGGGTGGTTAAGGGCCTTCTCTCCGTCCCCTCTTGTTTGTTGGACCCAGAGAAGTGAAGGAACCTAGAAATAGTGTTTGCAGCTAGAATGAGAAAATTAGCCAAAGGTGCAGCCCATCTCATGAGGCCCAAGCTTTTAAATCCGCGATTCCTCAGCTGTTGAGTTTGGGCAGCTGTGACAAGGAAAACTGTCTCATAGGAACCTGGTGATCCGAAGCACCTGCTTCATTCTCTTCCTCTGTTTCTCTTTGTGAAATGTACTTGTTCGAGTGGCTCAGAGGAGCCCCAGGCAGGGTCATAACCTCTCTTGACTTGCCCCAGCTACCGGGTGTTCTGCCTCGTGGGAGATGGTGAGTCCTCAGGAGGCTCCGTCTGGGAGGCCCTGGCCTTTGCATCCCACTACAGTCTGGACAATCTTGTGGCCATCTTTGATGTGAATCGTCTGGCCCACAGCACCGCTTTGCCTCTCGAGCACTCCATAGATGTCTATCAGAAGCGCTGCGAAGCCTTTGGGTAATTGTCCTACTTGATGTCACCTCCTTTCTGCTCCTTCCCCCTTCGCCTTCTAACCTGGATGCCTCTTCTGTTGACAGGTGGAATACTTTGGTGGTGGATGGCCGTGACGTGGAGGCACTGTGCCAGGTGTTCTGGCAGGCAGCTCAAATGAAGAACAAGCCCACTGCTGTGGTTGCCAAGACCTTCAAGGGCCAGGGCGTTCCAAGTAAGGAAGTGTTGCTTTTATGCTTAGGGTTGTTAGCCTCTGCACAGCCCATGAGGCTGAGGCTCGCTGAGGAGAAAGACAGCTGACTTCATGCACAGTGATTATGCTCCTGACATGTGCCAGACGCTCTTGCTCTCCTTGATGCTTGTAGATAGCAGATCTGGTCAGGGCTGGGGAGGGGAAACCCAGACGCCCAGCAAGTGATTTGAGCACCAGGGAGCACGAGGGAGCGGCTGGGAGGATAGTCCCATCAGTTATCGGACCAGCAGGGAACCATCTCCACAGGGCATGCAGAGTGAGAGTGGGTGTGTGAGCAGATACTTAAACAGGAATGTATGCACATGCATGCAATGGCCTGTGCCCACGCTACCTGGGAGGACACACAGGCTGCTAGTAAAGTGGCCCCTCTGGGAAAGGCAGCTGTGGAACTGAGGGTCAGGGGAGGAGGGCGGTTGAAAATCTTAATAACTTCTTGCAGATTTCAAAGCGGACACCTAAAGTTGTTCATCTCCAGTATAAATAGTTGCAGTGGGAGTGATTTCTGCTGTGTTCTTAATATTAACATTGTAGAAGAAAACTATTCTCTGACTTCTCCTTAAAATAGTCTTCTGGTACACCCAGTTCAATAAATGAAAACTCGCCCAATTTGCTCCTGTAAGAAACCTGGGTATTTCTTTGACTACACCTCTCCTTTATGTGCCACCCCCCACATACACCCAGTCTGTCATCCATTCTAATTGATTCTGCTCCTAACGTATGTCTCAAGTCTGTTCACTCCTCTCCACCTCTCTTGCCCAAGCCTGGTCTTCTCTCCCTCACTTCAGTCTCCTCAGGCCAGTCCCCATATGCCTGCATTGGTGATCTTTCTACAACATGGATCTGATCAGTTACCTCCCCCACTTCCAAACACTTCAGGGGTTTCCCATCTTGCTTTGGGCAAAACTCAAACTCCTTGTACCCACAAGATCCTCCCTGCCTGTCTCCAGCCTCACCTCCCTCACCGTTCCCTCCATTCACCAGCACGTTAGCCAGTGGCCCCCTTAAGAGCCTCTCAGCCTTTATCCAGGCTGTCTCCTGCCACCACAGTACCATGTCAGGCCCCTTGTGCCAGGTTTTTACTCTGTGGCTGACATCTTTCCCTTCCAAATGTCTTTCAGATGACTGAACAGGGGCTCGTGAGTTACAGAATAAATGTCTTTTATCCATTGGGTTACAGGTGTTGAAGATGAAGAAAATTGGCATGGAAAGCCAATGCCCAAAGAAAGAGCAGATGCAATTATCAAACTAATTGCGAGCCGGATAGAGACCAATAAGAGTCTCAAACCAAAAGCCCCTGTTGAAGACTCACCTCAAGTCAACATCTCAGATATAGAAATGACGTCTCCACCTGATTATGAAGCCAGGGATATGGTAGGCAAACTTTTTTCTCTGCTTTTGCTAAATACAGAGGACTCCTGTTTACTCTGATTTCCCCAGATGAACCAATTCTTAGGTGGTGTGACATTTAGTTAAAGGTTATAAGCAACAAAGATGGATTTACCTTTTTACTATTTTGATATTTATTCTTTGATTTCAAACTTAACTCGGGTCTGAATTTTCTTACCAGTCAGTCACTACTTATTTGCGTCCAGTGCTATGCAGTTTTTGCTTGCTTCCTAAATTCAGTCTGTAGTCTGGCAGACCATTGTGCATGAAACTCCATGATTCTATGTCAACTTGAAGGACAGGGGCCTAGCTGGATTGACCTTTTGGGCTTAATCCCTGGTTTACACAAGGAAGAGCACCAGTTCACCGAAGGCCAGTTCTTCAAAAAGGAAACAAATTAGGCATGACACCCTGATAAACCCTTTCTGTTTTTATCATGATTTTTGTGTCCTGCCTTCTGGTATATTATAGCAGATCCAAAATAGGCAGGCTCTTCACAACCTAAGGAAACAAGGCGGCTAGCCTGGGAGGAAGGAAATTTTTCTGACTCTTATTTGTGTTCCTTATTTATTTGGGAACATTTTGAGTGTTACTTATGTTTTCTTGGCATGGTAATATGGATTAATAATAAATGAACTGGCTGAGAAACTAGAAAGCAAATTTAAAAGCAGAAGAAAGCTGTTAATAAAAAGCACATATTAACAGAAGGTACTTTGGTAATATGTGTTAACACCAACTGTTCACACCCTTCAAAGTAGAAGTGCAACTCACAGGTATTTATCCTACAGAAATACCTGTGCAAGTGTGCAGAATAGAATGAATGTTGATTCCAGCATTGATTATGGTGAAGTGTTTATGTCTAGAAAGTATGTGAGATTATTGGAACTTTTCGTTTGAAGTGCATATATTTTATTAATAGAAATTAGGGACACAGGCCAATTGATTAAAAAGTTAGTGAATTAAAGAACAAGAAGTCACATTAATACACAAATCTAGGAGTTGGCTCTCTGAATTACTAAATAGTAGGCAAGCCGTTACCTAGTCTACTTAAATAGATGAAAACTATAAATGAATAAAATTAGTCACTAGAGAAGACTACCACAAATCGAGAGAACATTCAGAGAATTTTGAGAAAACTATGCTAATTGGTATGAAACCCTATTTAAAAAATGGACCGTCTTAAGGAATACATAAAATACCAAAGTTAAGTAAAAATACACAAAATGCCTAAGTAGGTCAGGGACTTCCCTGGTGATCCAGTGGTTAAGACCACGCTCCCAATGCAGGGAGCGTGGATTTGATTCCTAGTCAGGGAACTAAGATGCTGCATGCTGCACAGTGTGGCCAAAAATAAAAATTCTTAAAAACACTTAAGGAGATAACAGCCATTAGGAAAATTTGAGAAAACCGTCTAGGCGTTATACCTCCAAAGTGCCAGGCTCAGTTAGTTACAAGAGTGACTTAATTTTAACCTTCAAGGGATAGATTAATTCCTCCACTATTTCAAATCTTCTTGAATATGGAGAAGGTCATTTATGAAGCCAAAATGTTATAAAGCTAGCCCAAAGGAAGAAACTACAGGCCAGCCTCACTTAGGAATATTGATTTAAAAATTCTAAATAAGACATTTGCAAAGAGTTGGACACGACTGAGTGACTGAACTGAACTAATGGAACTGAAATAAGACATTCACCAGTCTCAACTTCTTTAGTGCCTTAAAAGAAGTATTGGAGTCAGTGAAATTCAAATTAGTAATGCAAATCATTCACCAGCATTAAGAGAGGAGAAATTGTGGTCGTTCAAAATAAGACTCCCTCCTGACAATGAGAAGGCAAGCCTACTTGCAGGTGGTAGAGTTGTATGTCTGGAAAACTCAAAAGAGAATCGAAATCAGAATGAGTAAGAAAAGAAATAAGAAAATACGTTAGAAATAAGAGTCTAGAAAGAGAGCTTGTAGCAAAACTAATATATAAGGATTGATTGTTTTCTCATATTAATAAAATTGAGAGATTATTCCTTTTTACAGTAGCAATAAAAAATAGCTAAAAATAAATGCATATGGTCTATATTAAGGTACTTATGAAACTATAGCTTTAAAAGCTCACATGCTGTCAGAAGAATACTTCACAACCCTATCCTTTCCCTTACCTCTGGGGAGAGGAACTGGGAGAGGAGGAGGAAGATGGCCTCTTCACTCAATATCCTTTCATAACTTGACTTTTGTACTCATCTCTGTGAATTGCCTGTTTTAAAAAATATTTTTAAGACTGTTTAAATGAATGAACAAAGATAGATAAATGAAGAGACAAACCTTATTTTTGTTAATAACAGCTTTATTGAGGTAAAATTTTCTCTACAATATACCCATTTGAAGTGTACAATCCAATGGTTTTTAGCATACGACAGAGTTGTGCAACTATTACCATGCTGAATCTTACAGCATTTCAGTATTCCCATAGAGAAACACTATATTCACAAACATTACTCTCCATTCCCACCCAGCCCCTAGTAACTGCTAATTAACTTTCTGTGTCTGTGGATTTGCCTGTTCCAGACATTTCATATAGATGAGATCATCTAATATGCAAATTTTTGAGGCTGCTATTTATCCATTCATCTGTTGCTGCATATTTGGGTTATTTCTATGTTTTGGCTATTATGAATAATGCTGCAATGAACATTAGTGTACAGCTTTTTGTGTATTTGTATTTTTCTCTTGGGTAATTACCTAGGAGTAGAGTTACTGGGTCATAATTGTAATTCTGTGTTTAACTCTTTGAGGGAATACCAAATCTGGGGGTTTTTTTAATAGAAAAAATATAGTAAAGATGTCAGTTCTCCCCCAGATTAATCCATGGGTTCAGTCCAGTCTCAAACAGTATGCTAATGGAATTATTTTTTATTTGTATCATGATTCCAAAGTTTTCCATTTTAATATTTACAGTGAGTATTATCATTTTTTTAAAAATACTTATTTTTATCTGTGCTGTATCTTCGTTACACATGGCCTTTCTCTAGTTGTGGAGTGCAGGGACTACTCTCTAGTTGTGTTGTGCAACTTCTCACACCGTGACTTCTCTAGTTGCAGAGCATGGGCTCTTGGACACATGGGCTTCAGTAGTTGTGGTGCATGGGCTCAGTTGTTGCACAGCTGTAGAATCTCCCATGAGCAGGGATTGAGCCAGTGTCCCCTGCATTGCAGGGTGGATTCTCAACCACTGGACCACCAGGGAAGCCCCTGTTACCAGCTTTATAATTAAAATAAGTCACAGAGGCATTTGCATGTTGGGAAATTTAAGTTTTTAATCAACTATAAGCATGAGACAAGAACAGATTTATTTTTGGGAAATTAATACTCAAGTGAGAGAAGTATGGATGTAAGATTGGCTAGCAATCCTGTTTTTGTTTTGTTTTTTGCTTTTTCCCTTTTGGCCGCATGTATGGCATGTGGGATCTTAGTTCCCTGATCAGGACTTGAACCTGTGCCCCCTGCATTGGGAGCACAGAGTTTTAACCACTTGACTGCCAGGGAAGTCTCAGCAGTCCTTTTTTATTACCCCAAGGGAGATTATTGGTGAATTAAAAATTTGCTTTCTTCATTAAGGAGGATGACAATTCATAATTCTACCAAATTTCACCTGCCTTCTAAATGCATTCTAAGAAACTCTCCTGTTGATTTTCAGATAGCTACTCAGAAAGCATGTGGTTTGGCTCTGGCCAAGCTGGGCCATGCAAATGACAGAGTTATTGTGCTGGATGGTGATACCAAGAACTCCACCTTTTCTGACACATTCAAGAGAGAACACCCTGAGCGCTTCATCGAGTGTTTTACTGCTGAGCAAAACATGGTACGTGTGCTAGGAACATCGCTTTGAGTCATCTCATTGACAAATGGCTACCCGCTCGAGGAGGCCTGCCCCCCTTACGGTTTTTCTTTCCACTTATAAAAGCCAAGGAAGTGGAGGGAAAAAGTCTCAGGGAAACACGTAGAGAGCAGTCAGGTAGAATGTGAGGGTTGGCTTCCAGGATTTCTGGGACAGGCATGGTTAGATGGCCCCACACACTCTCCAGAAAGTCTGCGGGCTGCAGCCCTCTGATCTCAGGGCTCCAGGTCTGAAGAATGCCCAGCTCCCTAGTAGCTCTAGGTGGCCCCTGGGATGTTGTAGGATTGCCTGGCTGTGGCCAGTAGGTGCAGAACCTCAAGGGATTGTGGTTTGTCTCTCCACCCTGGGGCCTGATATAACCTAGATATTTCAGTGTTCGTGCAAGTAAATGCCTTGACTTCTCAAGTTCTGCACCCGTGCAGAGGACAGCACACATTTATTGACCCTCACATCACAGAGGCCAGAAACAGCACCGGCCAGAAATCTGTGGGCCAGTAGGCCTCACATGACCAGAGATATTTTGTTTGGAACAAATAGTATTTACAAATATTTTAAATTAGTTGCCAGCTTTTTAAAGTCAGGAAATTTTTATATGGAATCCAGATTTCTGGATTTTTCTTAAAGAATGGGAAGATCTGGCAACACTGGAACAACATTCCCTCCTTCCTGCCACCAGTTGGCTGGAGTCAAGCAGGGGCCCTGTTTAGATGGGCATCCACAGCCATCTCACCATGTCCCTGCCTCTGGCTGGCCTGCTCCTTTGTTCACGGTGCTTCCCTGGCCCTGTCAGTGTTGGAATCTAAGCCCCTCAGTTCAGTAAACCAGGTCATTGAAATTGTAAGGATATGAGCATTTTTCAGTGGGTCTCCTTATTTCTATTTTGAATGGAAAAAAATACAGCTCATATTTTTCTGAATTGAGCCTCAAAAGTTTGCTTCCCTATGCATTGATTCGTTCAACCAGCAACTGAAAAAAAAAACCTAGTAAAGAAGCAGCCAGCAAGTGAGTAGTGTTCTGTGCTGCCAGATCAAACTGGTGGCTACGGGGAGAGCATGACTAGGGCCAATCAGGAGCAGGCTCTCAGAAGAGGTGACATTTAAACTGAGACTTCAGCGACAGGGAGTCCGTCACGTGCAGATCCAGGGACAGCATTCCCAGCAGAGTGCCCAGCTAGCTCTGCTGCATGCCCAGATTGGAGCTGTTCAGGGAGCAGAAGGAAGGGCCCAAGACTCTGGTGTGGAGAAGAGCTTGCTGAGGGAAGTAGGGGAGTGGCAGGAGATGACAGCTTGGATCAGGACAGTGGCTGTGGGTTTGGGGAGATGCAGACTCATGCAGAGTAGATGACCAGGTGGAACCAAGGCTGGCACTAGGGCATAGGCCAGAGCACCTGGGAGACAGACAAGACTGGGGCAGGAATGGGTTTTGGGGACACAGGAAGTCTCGCTGAGCCCTGCGGGGTTAGACTACCTCTTAGACTGGGGGTAGGGATGCCAGGTAGGTCAGAAGGGATAGATCATTTATCTCCAAATATGTTTGCTTTCCAAACCGCTGAATGTCTTTTTCTAAGTAGATCTAAGCTTTAAGTTAACAACTAAATTTTTCATTGAATTTTTTAAGTTCACATCTAAATATATTCTTGGCATCTAGATTTAACTGATGCCAAGGATGTAATTTCCCGTATATTATAATTTGTGACACTCGAATACTTAAATCATCCAGTTAGACAAAGGCTCTCTCTGTCAGAAATTAAATGTTTTTCCACCTGAATTCTTACTTCCATTCTACTACTTATTCATGGAAGCCTTTTACTGATAATTCTTCAATAAACTATGCATATACATTGATGGTTTTTAAAATTTGTTTCCTACATCCACAGGCCTTGGAACATTACCATTTTTTTCTTCTGGATTGAGCTATGGCTATAATTTTTAGCTTGTGTAGCAGTAGTTAAGTACACTTAGAGCTAGAATGAGACAAGATTCAGAACAAAACCTATTTCTATTTAAATGATGTAAGTTCCAGAAAACCTTATTCAAGAAGATATGGTGCTGGGAAGTGAGAATTTTGTTGCAGCAGCGTCATTCAGTTCATTTGAATCTCGTCCCAGCTATAAGCCGAAAATCACAGTGATCTTTCATGTCCAGTTGTTTGTGGAAAATTACTTGTAAAGGATTGACACTTCACTTAGGTTCACTTTCAGTTTTGTTAAAAGAATTGGAAAACCCCTGACTTACGGAAGGATTTGTTATCCAGTCTTTTGAGCTTTGTAGTTTCTCAAGGCTGCTGTGATTATTTCAAATTATTCTTTCTGTTTCTGGAGCTCTTACATTCCAGGATGTTGCCCCACTGAAGGAACAACCTGAGGTGGGCGAGAGTATGCCTTTTGGCAGTTAGTTGCTGAGAGGCGATTCTCAGGGAGACAGTGGGAAGGACGCCCTGGGCCCTTTCCCTAGCAGGCAGATGTGGGAGTCAAGGATCTTGATGTTGAGACCAGCCAGCCACAGCCATGCGCCCTTTGGAAGGTCTCTGTTTACCTCTGAGATACTCATCTTCTAGTTTGAAGGCCACCAGGGTGTGTGAGCCTGGCTTTGCCGGAGAGGTGAGCAATAGAGGGACAGAGGAGACCTTAGCATCATGCAGATCAGAATGACACCATGGGACCCCGTGCTGGTTCCCTGTGAAGAGGGCAGATCAGGAGGAGTGTGGCACTCAACCCCAGGACTTAGTCCAGGTGCACCACCTGGCAGATCCAGTCAGGGAGGGAGCAGCAACATCCAGTGAGGCAGGCGTTCCCTAGTGCTAGATGCTCCTCAGAGGTCAGATGCGATGCAGAGGAACTCAGGTGACCTCTTGCATTTGGCAGGTTCCAGGTCCCTCATGGGGATGGCGGCCTAGATGATGGAGAATGTGCAGAAAGTGGGAGATGAGGGAGCATGCAAGGTTTTCCTGTGAAGGAGAACATGGATGAAGTGCAGGATCTGGAGCAGGAGCACAAGGGGAAAGTGAGGGAGAAACTGAGGTGACATGGGAGGGGAGGGGACAACTGCATGGTCAGAGAGGCCCTTGAGAAAGCAGGAGAAGGATGAGCTTCAGCAGGGTGGGGAGAGGGGACAGAGGCAGGGGACGAGGAGAGTGGGAAGGAGAGCCACAAGGACTGCAGGGTGGCCTTGAGTGTCTCGAGGTTCCCCAGCTTGGATATGAAGGAATGGGTCCAGCACTTCAGTTCCTCTCATTTCTGGCAGTGTTCAGGGGACACAGTGAATTTGCCAGGTTTGGGGTTTTCCCATGTGGCTGGAGGAGGGGTGTGGCAAGGTGAGGGGGCACAAAGGATAGGTGATCCTGAGAAGCATACACTCTACACTGGGAAACAGGAGGGGAAGTGGGCTCCAAGAGTGTTCTGATTCACCTTCTCTGTGATGCAGGTGAGTGTGGCACTGGGATGTGTCACCCATGGTCGCACCGTGGCTTTTGCTTGCACCTTCGCTGCCTTTTGGATCCGAGCATTTGATCAGATCCGGATGGGAGCCATCTCGCAAACCAACATCAATCTTATTGGGTCCCACTGTGGGGTGTCCGTAGGTATGAGTTCTCAATGCCATCATCTTAATTGCCCTCCTCCTTTACAGAGAAAGATCAGCATGTGAGCAGTTGAACTGCCCAACATAGAGTTCCATGATATTAGTTTGATTATTTGTAACCAGTTTTTTGAAAAAGGCCATTTTAGAAGTTCCAGAAACTGGGTAACTTTTTAGCTGATCTCCTGGTATTACTGTAAAGTGCCCATTGTTTCAGTCATTGAGAAATACTTATCCTCAGTGCCTCTTCTGTGTCAAGCCACATACTAGTAGTGATTAGGCCACTCTGGCATCACAGAAGTCTTTCCTGCTGTTTGGTCACCTTAGTCTGAGTTGGGACAAACAGCCTGCCAGGGCTCTGCTGGGATAAGCAGCCTGGTTGGATAGAATGGGAAGCCTCGAGGTGCCCAACATCGGGGCATTAACTGTGGATGGGAAATGGGGGAGCCAGGAGGAGGATGGAGGTGTGCATTAGCACTGGATAGAAAATGGAACAAACTTGCAAGAGCCTGTGGAAAGACGTCAACATTGCTGACAGGAGGAGAAGTCCCAAGCTGCATGAGAAGCAAAACGCCAGTGCCCAGTAGTTTCTTGCCTAGGAAACATCTGGGAGTTGTGTTTGTGGAGGATAGCAGTGGGGACTCTAGAAAGATGGGGCACCTGACATGCCTGTGGCAGGGCAGGTCATCAAGGTAGATGTGACTGACAGCTGACCCTTGTTGCCAGAAGGCTGGAGGGGAGGGCTGGAACTGCACATCTGGGTGTTGTCCCAGGGACTTCCAGGGAGAGCTTGAGTGGCAAAGGAGACTCTCTGTGGGCCAGATTCAAGGGAAAAGAGGAGAGAGGAGGGCCTGCACAGGGGCCTCTCCTGGGGCTGGGTGCAAAGTTAGTTTTCAAGTCAGCCAAGTGGAAAAGTGGTTCTAAGTCCAACCCAGAGGAACTGAAGTTCTTTGGAGAGACAACAGTCCCAGGCCAGGCAGTGTCCATGATGGCAGTCCCCTTCCTAGCTGGAAGAGCTTGGACACCCTGGTGTACATTGGGTTCAATGAAGTCCATGAGTTCCAACAGTACCCCCAGGGCACCCTGAAGGTATGTTCTGTAATGCTCAGCTACTTTGAAGGCCATGAGAAATGAGAGACCACTCGAGTCTGAAAACTTTCATCTCTTGATGGAAAAGGTAAAAGCACAGAGAAGAAACAACAGAGTCTGGAGGGACCCTCCTCGGAGAAGAGGACACGGGAAGAGTCCTGGTACCTGGAAGAGAGTGCGGGTCACCTAGGGCAGCAGTACCCGTCACACTGAGTGCCAGATGCTGGCGAGGCTCGAGGCCAAGAAGTGGCTTCTGCTGTGTTGCTTGCAGTGTCTGTGGTGACTGTTGGGATGGTGGCTCCCATGGCAGGCAGCACAGTCACTCATCCAGTGGAGGGCAGGCTCCTACTGGGGTTTCTTTGTTGGGCTATGATTTTGCTTTCTCAGGTGAAGACGGCCCCTCCCAGATGGCCCTAGAGGACCTAGCCATGTTCCGAGCCATTCCGAACTGCAAGATTTTCTATCCAAGTGATGCCATCTCGACAGAGCATGCTGTTTTCCTGGCAGCCAATACCAAGGTATTTCTTAGAGAACGCTGGTGCAGACAAACAATGTGTCTGGGCTCTGCTGCTAGTTTGGTACTGATGGTTTGATATTACTTGTCTCATCATAAAGGTAATAGATATTTGTCACAGGTAATTTGATTGCAGCCTTTTCTTGGCTGCACTGGGTCTTTGTTGCTGCACAGGCTTACTCCAGTTGTAGGAAGTGGGACTTCATTTCTAGTTGTGGTGTGCAGGCTTTTCATTGTGATGGCTTCTCGTTGCAGAACATGGGCTCTAGGGTGCACACGGGCTACAGTAGTTGCGGTGCATGGGCTTAGTCTCTCTGTGGCATGTGGGATCCTCCTGGTCCAGGGATCTAACCTGTGTCCCCTGCACTGGCAGGCGAGTTCTTAACCACTGGACCCCCAGGGAAGTCCTGTAGGATTCCCTTTAAAGATAGAACCATTACCGCAGAAAGGGTAATAGAAGCATGTAGAACATGAACACATTTGCATTGTAAAAAAACAGTGCAGAAAAGGTCAAACTCCCAGCGACCTGTATGGGGTGGGACCTAGGTCAAGAAGAGGGGGAAACTGTGGGACTTGGGGACTGGGAGTCCTTGGCAGAGCCAAGCCCACTGAAGTGGGCTCCAGTGACAAGTCACCAGGTGCAGGTGTTAGACTCAGCGTGTGTGACTGCCACCTCGTGATAGCCAGAAAGCTGGAGAGTTGTCAGCGGCAGCTGCCTGGAGAGTTGTCAGCGGCAGCTGCAGATGAACCCTAGAATCCCCAGCCCTGGCTCACCCTCCTCAAAAACTGCTTAGAAGGGTAAGAGTCTGACTTCTGCCCTGCCTGCCCCTCCTGAAGTCTCACCCGGGGCATCAGTTGGACACAACCTGGCTCTTGTCCAGAACCCAGCTGCAGGGGCTTCCCTGATGGCTCAGAGGGTAAAGAATCTGCCTGCAGTGCCGGAGACACAGAACCCTGCAGCTGCAGGAAAGTTGAGGGAACAGAATCTTTACCTTTCCAAACTCTGCAGCTAGCAGTCACCGGACTCACCTCACCACCACAACCCCCCAGCCCTGCACACAGCCCTGCACACAGTTGAGGTGGGTCATGCAACATGCAAGTTCCATTCCTGGCATTTCCAACGTGTGGGAGACATGAGTTTCTTTGACTTTTTTTTCTTTTTTCTTTTTTTTTTTTTTTAACATAAGTGGGCTCACACATGGTTCTGTACTTTTCTACTTGGTGTATTATCCTGGACATTATTTTATGTCTGCACATACAGCACAAGCTCATGTGTGCTGTGGTATCTTACTGTGGAAAGTTCAAAAGAGACATCAGAATAGAGGTTGCTCCTTGGGTGGGAGAGAGGCATGCGGGAACTTTCTGGGCAAGTACAGATGCTCTCCAGTCTGAGGAGACAGACAGATACATGGTGTATAACTTGTCAGAATTCAGGGTGTGCTCCACTTAAGTAAATTTTACCTCCTAAGAATGTACTGAACAGAACTGGTTCATAGCATGTAAATGAACAAAAGGAAGCAGTGTTTTTAAATTAATGTATTAGTTTATCATGTATGATTTAAATATGTATGTAAATCAACTATTGGGTTCTCAGGTGGCACAGAGAATTCACCATTTCCCCCTGTCGGGATCTTCCCAACCCCGGAATTGAACCCGGGTCTCTTAGGTCTCCTGCACTGGGAGGCAGGTTCTTTACCACTAGTGCCACCTGGGAAGCCCTGTAGACAGAGGAGCCTGGCGGGCTACACAGTCCATGGGGTTGCAGAGTTCAACATGACCTAGCACGCATGCACACAAATTAACAAATACTCTATAGATATTTGAGTATTCATTTATAGTTCTATTTATATGTTCAAGGTGATGATGATGAAAAAAATTGACATCTTCTCATTGGAAGATGAGTAATTTTATGTTCTGGTATCTAAGGTATTTCTAAGAATGAAGTATTACACGCTGTTGTGACAAAAATTGTTTACCATTATGTTTTAGGGTTTCTATTCAAGGCAAGTAAGTGCTCGTGCCCCGAGTTTACATTCTGTCGAGACAGAACAGATCAGGGTGTATCTGAGGAAGCTTTCCCAAAGGGGTGAGCATGATAGCATGGAGAGCTTGTCACTGGGCATCCAGCAGCTTCCCTCACAGGCTTTTGCCTCCTGATCAGTAACACCTGACCTGTTGCCAGTGGTTAGAGATGGTTATCCCTCGCTCCAGAATGTACATTTTGTTTTTCATACTAAGAATTGTTCATTCCTTCCCAGCTGCTTTTTAAGGTTTATTAGTTGGAAATTTAGTTTTATTTTCTAAACTGTGGCTCTGGTATTCATTTACACCCTAGGGGATGTGCTACATTCGAACCAGTCGGCCAGAAACTGCAATTATTTACACCCCACAAGAAAGCTTTGAGATTGGACAGGCGAAGGTAAGGCCTAAGTTCTCCTGTATCTTCCAGTATTAGTTTGTGTTGGGAGCACTGTTCTTTAAAGCCAGAGCTAGGGGCCCCGACAGTTGAGGCTTCATTCTTCCTTTGTTCTAGTTTTTTTAAAAATTCATGATATTTGCCTGCTTTTCTTCAGAAAGTAATATTCTGCCAATGTCAGCCTGAACTTAACATTTCTCCTTTGCGAAAGGAGTCTCTGTTGAACCCTTAAAGATAAATAACTTGAAGACTCTTGAGTTGCTTGGCTGTACGTTACCACAGACAGCGTCAAGCTAAGAAAATGATAGAACCCATTTCAAATGAGTAGTAGATCTGAGATCTGTTAGGTTCTTGTTTTGCCCATTGGAGGCCAGGAATATAACAAACATGAACCATCTTGCCTCTGGCCATCGTGTGGCCCTGAGGTTGGTTTTGTGGGATGTGGATACACCTTCAGGCCTGCTGGGTGCTTCCTATCTCCTATGTTCTTGAGAAAGCCTTGGAAGCACAGATAGTTAGCAGCCATATTTTGAAGATGAGGGCCAAAGAAGGGTAAGCAGCAAGCCCAGTAAGCAACCCGCTGTCTGTGGGCCTGCCTTTCAGAGTTGTGTGTGCAGAAAGCCAATAGCATCTGTGGAGAAAATACATGATTGTCCAACACCTAGAAGGCAGGCCTTACAGACGTTTGGGCATGTTTTCTTCCTGACTTTTTCTAGGTGTATATCTTAGCTGAGATCATGCTGCGTAGGACTGTTTTATGTCCTGCCTTTTATCTTATAAGCCTTTTAGAATACCCTTCTTAAGTGTTTAAAAGAATGATAGTCACTCTTAAAGGAGCAATACGTGACTTCCAACTTGATTGATAAGGGCTAGGCTGCTCCAGAATTCACAGTGGTTGTGCTCAGAATGAATAAATGAGCTCTGAATAGCTTTAGTGCCACAGGAGAGCAGGTATATCCAGAAGAGTTCCTAGCCCCCCCCATAGTTTCATTCCACTGAATGGAAAAGCTGAACTCTTCAGTGTAAACTACAGGTGCTGTTGTTCCCTGGACTCCCACTCAAGGCCATCTGTTTGCCTCTGGGGGTGGCAGGGAGGGTGTCTCGGTGACAGTCATGTGGTTTTCAGAGTTTTCACATCTCTCTCGTCTTTTTTTTCCCTGTGATGTTTGTCCTATCCTGACAAAATGAAGTAAATTTCCTGATGTGAGTTAAATTATGTGTGATAATATGCATGGCATGAATAATTATAGGCTGGGTTTGCAAAGGGGCATATAGGTGTGTGTGTATATATTTACATACATGCACATACAAAGGCTAGGACATTCTTAAAGGATGGGGCAAGTGGTTTGAAACCCTAAATATCTAGTCAGCAGTGGTGCTTATGTTACAGGGAAACC